ATAATATGGGAGTGCCAGTCCTGCTTGCTTTTGTCTGTGCAAGAGGGAATGGGGCACCATCTTGTCTTTTTGCCTCAGGCAGCAAAATATCTTAGGTTAGCCCCATTGGTTAGGTCAGAGGGGAGGGGAGATGGAGTCTTGTGAGGGAAGTATTTCCTTCTCAGGCCTCCCCACTTTTGGAGACTCTGACTGTGGCATACGGTTTGCAAAGGATGCCATTAATTAAAAAAACAAAACAAACTTCTTAAGAAAATACTACACAAATGAGGCCATCACCTAATGGCTGCAAATCCTGACCATTGAACAAAGCAGGCGATTACGTATGTTCTAACAGAATATTTCAGAGGGTGGTGGCCTTCGTTGGAGGTTTTAAACAGAAGTTGGGGGGCTTTAGCTGTTAAATTTCTTTACTATCAGAGTTCCACAGAACTCAGATGATTTGTACAGAATCTCTTGTTTTCCCATGGAATCCCAGAGTAATGGATAGAATAAGCATTTGGGATACCAAGTGGAGGAAAGGGGAATGACAGTGGCAGCTGCAGGACACAGCGGTGTGTATGTGTCTGTGTGTATCTTGTAGACACGGGGCTTTCACAGTAAATGAAATGTTTAAGGAGTGGCTTTACCAGTTCAAATGCAACTTGTTTCGAGTTTCTATGGCGAAATGGGAATTTGAACCTACATCTCCTGAGTCCTAGTCTTTCACTCAATCCATTGCATCACGCTGGGGGATTCTGAAAAACAGACGTGTACACATATGCAGCCTGCGGGTGCTTTGTTACTCACCCCTACATGAAAGATGAGCAATTCCTTCAGTTATTATTAATGGGTAGAACTTGTTCTCTCAGGCTCAGAAAATAGGTATTTCACTTGTGAGGCAAGTATTAGCATCTGCCCATCCTCCCTCCTGGTTCAAGTCCCACCACCATCAAGGACGGTTGTAAATCATTCTCCGCCTCCTTGGCCCCCTTGCTTGCCACTGCACTGGAGGGAAGGGGGGGTGGGGGAGAAGTGGACAGAATAAAAGGATGGGGATTGGGCTGTTTTTTGTCATGTGTAGCACAAAGGCACAACCCAAACATGGGACTCCACCAGCATTACTGAAATATTAGCTGTATCAGGATTCTCTCTTCCCTCCCATCATCTGCCATTTTGTGCCAGTCATTCTACCAGGCAGGCTAACAATGAAGAAAGGAACACCGTCCCCACTATTGCTCTGCTACCTCTGGCTCTAACAACCAAATTTGCTTTTATTTTCTTCCCTCCCTATCCTTTTGCCTGTTAGGTTGCATCTGACTAAGACTTATTATTGTCTTTGTCAGGTCATCTGGGAGCTGAAGATGAAAAATATACCAGCTACCCCCTACCTCAAAGGAACAGTGGGGATTCTGTATCTAGAGAGACCAAGAAAAAAAAAGGCACGTGGTCCTTAAGAATACACAAATGTAAGAGTGGATAATACTTTTTACTGGACCACTAAAAAAATAATAATCAAGTGTAGTGCGGTGAATAGGTGATAGACTCAGGAGGCCTGGTTCAAATCCCTGGTCAGTCACGGAAACTCACCGGGGAAGTGAAACTGGTAAAACCACTCCTTAAATATCTCACTTACCTTGCAATCCCTATTTGGGTTGCTGCAAGTCGGTTCAAACTTGACGGTACATAACAAGAACAAAAAAATCAAACAGATTGCAAGCTTTCATGGAGGAAATCCACTTCATCAGGCTAAGCATCACTGCTTCATGGATATCTAATTATCTATATGCAGAAAATGAGAGTGGAGGGGGAAGGTAGCACAAACACCAGAAGCAACATGCTTTTGCTGGGGGACAAGAACAAGAGAGAGACGCTGTACTCATTGTCCAGCTGGCAAGCTCCCCGTGGGCTGCCACATGAACTGAATGCTGGATGAGAAAGGCCTTTGGTTTGATCCAGCAGGGCTCCTTCCAACGTTCTCTGCCATTGTCTGTCTCTGAGCTTGGCTGAGTTGATTGGCCTTTTCAATATACGTGAGCCCCACAATACACTCAGGCAGGTTGTTTTGTGAAATGCCATTCCAGCCGGGCAAAGCATCGTAAGGTGGTGCCAGAACTTGCCATTCTTTCTTCCTCCTGTTGAAACCTGAGAGGTCTTGCCGCTTTAGCGAGGGACCCATCCACCATGCCTTTGCTGATGCTGATCATTGTCCTCGTTCTGGGCAGGAGAGAAATTCCATTTGAATCCACCTGTTGGGCGATTGATCGTATCATTGACCGTGTGTCCCGTTAATTGTCACTCTGTGCAAAGGCTTTAAATTGTAAGAGGACACCCCCTAATATTTTTAATGACCTTAAGCAAAGTGATTGACACAAGATACCCGTGTCAGATGTTCTGGTGACGCAATATGTTCCCCCAGTAGCAGGAAAGCTTCCTGACATGATTAAGTTCGAGCTATGAAAAGTGCTAAAATGTGTGGTCAGCTTTCCTCTGATGCAAGTGATTTTATTATAGCGTCTGGGAACGGCGGAGTGTAGCAACACAAATACTAACTCTAAACATCCCCTCCCATATGTATAGCCTGCTCTATTTAAATCCCAGCTTGCACTTTACAAGGCCCAGATCTCAGCTATGAGCGGTGCGTGTGTGCATGGGGGGGGTGCATGGATTTTTAGTGTGCCTGAACTCTGCTGAGGGGGGGGGCGGCAATATCCATGCCATCAAAATTTCATTCATTTGCAAAAGGGCAGAAGTCTTCCAGCGCTTCATTTTGCAGCTTGCTGAACAGTGAGCAGGGGTGCACATCCTGCACCCTTATCCCCCCCCCCGCCTTAACTACAGCTCTTGGGTGCCCAGACCTCTCTGCCACTGAACCCTGTTCCTCCACTCCACGTTTCCTGCCAATTTCCTACCATTCTCTCTTTTTAACAAGAAAGAAAGTGATCTGTAGGAAGATCTTTTGGGGAGGAAATGGAAAGCCTTCTCTTTGCCCCTTCCCTAGAGATGCTGAAATAGTTGGCCCTTTCCATGCCAGGGGTGGGGAGACAGAAGAAAAGGCCGCCTACTCCTTCCTTCCCATCAAGGAAAGGATAATGTGTCTCTCTTTCACTCAGCAACGTGTACAACCCTCTGGACTGAAAGGTCGTACACTCTTACTGTAGTGTAATACTGCACACTGTGTATACCATAATTTTAAAGATGCAGTCCCGTGTATAATTATTTGGGAGTGAGCCCTATTAGAAAAGACAGGATGCAGTTTTGTCCTGCATATGACATACTTTTGTCCTGTACAGGACTTAACCACAGCTCTGACACCATTTGAAAGGCCTTTCAAAATTAGCTACAATATGATAGTACAACAAAGACAGGCAACCAGATATTGTTCGACTGCAACTCCCATTAGCCCTAGCCAGCAGAGTGATGAGAGATTATGGACACTGCAATTCAACCAGCTGGAGAACCACAACTTGCCCACACATGCACTGGAAAATCCACATACTAGGGATCCTAGTAAGTAAAGCATCCTAGGGATGCTTTAAGTCCCTCTCCCACTGTATTTACATCTCTACAATGCAGGAAATCAGAACGCAAACCAGAATAAAGAGTTTCCTGTTCAGTGGTAAAGGGCTGACATTCCCACACACACTGCACATCAACTGTGCTGTTTACAATGTGGCCTGCTACAGAACTGAGCATTGATGCTGAAAAACAGCCTGGAATATAGGAGCCTCATGATACAAAGGTTAAACTGCAGTATTGTGGCCAAGACTCTGCACAGAACCCAAGTTAGATCTCAATGGATTCAAGTAGTAGGCTCAAGGCTGACTCCACCTTCCATACATCCAAGGTTGATAAATTGAGTAACTCAGGTCATTGGGGGGGGGGAGGGGCAATGTGTAGCCTGAATAATTATGTTGTAAGTATATAAGTAGCACACTTTGGTTTTGCTTCGGAATGTCTTTGGTCAAATTAAGTGCTTGATATGCTCCAAATTACAGGTCTCCCAGGTTGCAGGGTTAACCAATATCTCTAATACTAGAGATTTAGCTCTGACACCATAGTGCTCTTTAGACTTTTAAGAGCAAACATATAACTGAGTTTCATTTGGACAATGAATATCAACAGCAGATGTTCTCTGCTAGTGTCCGTATTCACAAAGCTTACTAAAGCTGCTTTAATACGGTGGGATGGTCTAGAACAGTGCAGAAGCCAAGAAGACTGGGAATTAAGTTTTACTTCAAACACTGGTACATCTAAGGCACCAAAGTGGTTTAAGCTGCACTCAGACAGGTCACATATCATGCATAATTTTGTCTTCCGCTTGAGGAGAACAGTTAGGCTACTCAGGAGAAACAGCAGTCGGGCAGGTGGGAATGGCACTGCTGCCCCCTCAGCATCTGCAACCTGAAGTGAGTGCCTCACCCTGTCGAAGGGTAAGACTGGCCCTAGTCACTGACCACCAGAAAAGAGAGAGAGAGATGATGAAACAGACCAGAGGTCTTACATTGAAAACATGCCTGCTGCAATGACACCTGAGAGCCATCTAGGTCAACAGATTGTTCCCCATCAGGGGCTGGCCAGAATTATCCACAAAACCCACAAGAAAAGAATAGTCTCTTCACTTTCTCGTAACTTGGCAACTGATGGTTCTACCATTCTGTATATTAGGAAGCTTTAGGTGCTAGTTTGGTGTTTCCTGTTTTATTTGGCTTTAGGCTGCTTTATATTTAATGGACTATCTGCTCTTATTATTCAGTGTTGGTGGTTGGTTCTTGCTCTATAGTTTTAAATGTGTCTATGGATTGGTCTTCTTGGAGTGCACATAGCAGCATAAGCTGCCTTATGCAAAGTCAACATTTTGGCCAGGATTCTTTTCTTGCTCTCACTGGAGATCCCTGGTGATCCCTGATAGACTTCCTATTAGGGATAGCAAGTACCAAGAACTAACCAGGCCTAACTCTAAATTGTGCAAGATCTGATGCACTCAGGGTAGTATCTGGGGAAAAAAACAAACTCCAGCTTGGAATGGACAAGACTCACTTTTCTAAAAGCTCTAGCAGCAGAGATTGTTTATTATTTTGAAATGAAGGGTACATTTTCTAAAAACCAGGATTTAATATCAAAATGATCCAAAGTGCTAAGTATGACAGTGTTATAACAGTTAAATTTGCCAATGTATCTTTTGATCTATACATATACCTTGCTGTTTAATTTTGACAAATAGGTATAGAGAGCAACCTGTGTCTAAATAGTAACATTACCCACTCCATTTTTTAAAGGAAGCAGTAGTATAGTAGTAGTAGTACTAGTAGTAGTTCAATATTACTTTTTAAAGAAGTACCACAAAAATATCATAAGAATAAAATGAAGTGCATGTTCTGGCTGATGCAACTTATGACTGCAAGTTCCTTAAACGTTATGTTGATCAAAGCCGCACATGGGCTTTTCGTCTTAAGAAAGCTTTAGGTGAAGCACTTGATGGACATGACTTTGCGCTGTTTTGATCACATCCTTGAATTCTCCTAGCATTCACCCCACCTCCCCAAATTGTCCAAGCATTTGCTAATAGTTTAAAAGGCCACACAAGTCTGATGGTGATAGGGGGTGGGGGGGGAGGAGCAGGAGAGAAACAAGTAAGTTCTTTCTGGGGAAAAAAGGGGGGATTGGGACAAGTCTATAATTTCAAGACTGCTTCCCTGAATAACCGGAAGCAAGGAGGCCTTTTTAATCTTCCATCCTTTAAAAATCAAGCAAATGTGTGGTCAACACAACATGCGGCAGAACTGCTGTCTTTTAGAAGATGACCTCAAAGCCAGATCAACTCAAGAGGCAACCAAAATGGCCCCTTTTCCTAGGAAATCGGATGTAGGGAGACAACTACATGAGGGGCTTACTCCAGCCTTTCTGACCCACTTGTTTGCTTTAATGTATGGAATTCGCTGTTGCAAGATATTGCCGTGACAAGGGTGACTCGTGGAAGATAGAAGATGACTATTCGCCACAAAGAAAACTACCTCCCCACTGTTGTTCTCAAGGTTTCTCCCTCTAGAAGATATTTCCGGGGTGGGTTGGGGTTTTCATCACATGCATGCGCATGAACCTTTGAATAAGTTGGTTGCCTATTGCCTTGCTTTTGGGACCAGCTGTAAAGTTAAAGCTGTGTATGATGGACTGCCCACTGCTGTCTTTCAATAGAACACATGGTCCCACCTGACTCCAGGTAACTGACCTCCTTTATTCTACTAGACAGTTGGATAAGGCTTTTGGTTTTGTTTTTTCTAGATGTGCCAAAACCTCAATCTTTGAACTGTATAACACCACTTGAATAAAACACAGAGAAAAGATCTGAAATGAAAATCCCAGGGTATCATATCTAGTGTATCTTGAAATACACTTCTGAGACAACAGGTATGAATGATTTCCAAACCTTCCATGGTGCTCTGGGTTCTCATTTATAATTCCAGCTCAGCCATTGCTAAAAGATCCTGCAGCTGAACTGCAAATAAATAAGACTTGATGTTCAGTAATCCACCATTCACCTTCATCCCTTTGGCTCGCAGCTTCTAAGCAAAGAGGCTCCTTTGGTTTGCCACAAGAGCTGTCTGGCTCTCCCTCCTCTTTCCCTTCTTGTTCCGCTGCCGGATTTTCCAGCATAAGGCACTCGAGGCCAACAAAAGGAGTCCGGATGACAATAGGAACAATCCCAGCACGGAGATGATGGATCCGTGAGAGTCGAAGCTGTAGGCTACTGCTGTGACCACAATTCCGGCAATGAGGATCACCACCCCAAAGGGGATCGTGCAACGGTAACAGGAGAGTTCTGCTCCCCCTGTGGCAGCCGTCAGCTGGTGTTCGCTCACCAAAGGCACAGCCGTCACCCGGCAGTCATTGTTGTTGATCTTCTCCAGCGTTGCACACTGAGGACACTTGGAACCTCCCAAGATCTCCTTGATAGGCTCGTCGGTCATCTTGCAAGCTGTGGACAGGATTTTCTTAATGCCTCAAGAGAAAGCTGGATGCTGCTTGAACTGCATCAACTGTAGGGGGGAAATGCATTTGGATAAATATTCTGGAAATGTCTCTAGAATAATCCATTTGGGAAAGCAAATGAGGGGGCAAAGACGGATATAGGGGAAAGGTTGACAGGAACTTCTGCTATCAGAAGAGTTGCATCCATCCTTATCCAGCTGTTGCTTTGCTGGATTGGGGGGGGCAGGGGAGAGAGAGGAACTTTCTGATATCTGAAAATGCAATCTAAATTATAGATAGATTGCATTTTCAGATATCAGAAAGTTCCTCTCTCTCTCCCCTGCCCCCAGCAGCTGGATAAGTCCCCTGCCCCCCCAATCAGCAAAGCAGCAGCTGGATAAGCCTGCAGGGATCTGAAGAGTTGCCTGCAGGCTCTTGCATTTGTTAATTTCAGACATTAATCTAATGTAGCCCTAATACTACGTTACCCAGGGGTCTAAATATGGGCTTCAGCTGTCTAAGGCACCATCAGCTCTCCCCAAAGCAAATCCCCTTTCCACAAATTGTCCTGCCCATTCTTGGAGAGGTCTGATCTGGCCATGGTGACACATGCCTTAGGTTCCATATTTTTCCGTGTATAAGATGATACTTTTTCCTAAAATACAGTAGTTAGAGCAAAAATTGAGGGTCATCTTGTACACGGAAGTAAGCCGAACTGCTGGCACACAGAGCCCTCTCTGTGGGCACACAAGCTATGCCAATGCTGCTGCCCATGTCAGCCCAGTGCAGGGCGCAGTGCTGCTTGCTGCTGGGGCTCAACTCAAGCTCATGCTGCTGCCTTGTCCCCTGCCCGAAGGGAGCCTGCGAGTGGTGCTGGAGGAGGCGACTGGGTGGTGGCAGAAGCAGCAGGAGAAAGAGGTGGAGGCAAAGGAGGAGCTGTGCTTGGCCGTCCCTTGGCACGCATTGTGGCTGCCCATTGACTGCAATTCCAGCACCACAGGAGTGAGTGAGTGAGTGGGGCGGAGCGCAGCACAGTACAGGAAGCCCGGGCGAAGGGCCTGCCTATATTTGGGAGGATTGGCTGCCCATTGACTGCAATTCCAGCACCGCAGGAGTGAGCGAGTGGGGCGGAGTGCAGCACATTACAGGAAGCCCAGGCGAAGGGCCTGCCTATATTTGGGGAGTATGGAAAAGGCGTCCCCTGGGCAGCCCTCTGGAGGATGCACCAGTCCAACGGGTGCCCACTCCCCTGGGCAGCCCTCTGGAGGATGCACCGGCCCAACGGGTGCCCACTGATTTGGGCACTTGGGCTCAAAAGGGTCAAAATTTGGAGGCGTCTTATACATGGGGGTGTCTTATACATGGAAAAATATGGTATGTACCAGCTAGATTACCGTATTGCCATCTACATGGGGTCTTTGGAAAGTGTTTGGAAACTCCAATGAGTCCAAAATACTGCAGCCAGATTGTTAAGTGAGGCTGGTTACAGGGAACATACAACTGTCATGTTTCAGCAGCTCCACTGGCTGCCAATCTGTTCCCAGGCACAATTCAAAGTGCTGGTCTCTTGACCTCTAAAGCTCTAAACATCTTGAATCCAAGCTGTCTCAAACACTGTTTCTCCTTATGAGTCTACCCAGCCATTAAAATCATCAGGGGGCGCCTTTCTCTCTGTCTCGCCACCTTCACAGATGTATTTTGTGGGGACACAGGAAAAGGCCTTCTCTGTTGCTGCTCTCAGACTCTGAACTCCCTCCTACAGGAGGCCAGTCCAGCTCCATCTTAGCTGTCCTTCCACAAGCAGACAAAGACCTTTCTCTTCAGGCATACGTTCCTTTAAATGACTGGTTGACTAAGGGTATTTTTTTAAGGGATTATTTTATTCTGTTGTTTTACTTGAGCTTTTAATATTGCTCTTATTTATAAGTTTTAATTTGTCTGTTTAATGCTTTTAAAATATTATAATAGTTTATTATTTTTGCTTTGTTTCTTTTAATACTGTAAGTTGCCTTGGATCCTTTAGGAGAAAGGTAAAGGTAAAGGTTCCCCTTGACAATTTTTTGTCCAGTCGTGTTCGACTCTAGGGGGCGGTGCTCCTCCCGGATCCAAGCCATAGAGCCAGCGTGTTGTCCGAAGACAGTTTCCGTGGTCACGTGGCCAGTGCGACGTAGACACGGAATGCTGTTACCTTCCCACCGAGGTGGTCCTTATTTATCTACTTGCATTTGCATGCTTTCGAACCACTAGGTTGGCGGGAAAGGTGACAAACAAACAAACAAACAAACAAACAAATAAATGGGCGGGCGGGCGGACAGTTGGACAGACAGCCTCTGAGGGATAATTTTGTCATTTTTTGGGCCCTCAGCACCTCAGGGGTCCCCCTCCTCACTTCACTTAAAAAAACAATTAAAATGTCACTAGAAGTTGCAAAGGGGCTTTTGGAATTAAAAACCTCTTTGAAAATATTTGTGGTAGCGAAAACATTAGGCACCTCATTCATGGCTCCAATTCTGTACTGATAATCATATTTTACATATTTCTAATACTGTGATTTATTGCTGTGTGGTTGTTATGTGCAGTCAGGTTGCCTCCAACTTATGGTGAATGAACAATCTTCCAAATGTCCTCAACATACAGGCCCTGTGGCCTTTTAATTGCCTCCTTGTTTGCTTTATATAGGGATCACTACTATCAGCGGTTTCAGGCACTTGCGGTAGATCATGAAACAGATCCTCCGTGGATATTTCCTACTGCATATTAAAATTCTATCTTACAAGAATAGCACGTGCATAGGTGCATGTATGGACACAAGCAGAAAGAGATGCAGGGACCTGCAATAAAATGTTTCTTTGTATTCCCAGTTCGTAAGAGACTACAAGAAGAAAGAAATAGGGTGTTAAATAACCAGGAAGTTCCATTTCCACAAAATGGGTTGAAATTTTAGTCTTTCTCATCTTTATAGTCATTACACCACATATCTTTTTTGCATCAGCCTTTGTTCTTGTCCAGTTTTTAATAAACAGCACATCACTGTCTAAATCGACCGATGTCACCGTTCAGTGGGGAATATATGGTATGCCAAGACCAAATATTCATTTACCATTTCCTAGGGCACAGCCTGAAAGTTACTTGATTTTGCTTACTTTAGCAAAGGAATAACAGACATGTTGCTTGCAAATATTAATTTGATCACAGATATTTTGACAGTGAGTCAGCAAATGTCCATCAAAACTACTGTGGCCTAACTTTTGATCACTTATTCATATTATATGTTGTTTTCCTAACCCCCCAATTCTCAGTTCAAATATTTTAAAACCACCATTTTTAAAATTGAAAAGTGAACATTTATATCCTGAGACTAGTTTTTCAATATTCAAGGGAGGGAGTGGCAACCTGATAAGTTTTTTAAAAATATATCCTTGCACTTTTAGAATAATGTGTCATTGTTTTGGATCTTCCTTTGATCTTCCTTTAGTTAAAAAAAGAGACTCATGTAGTTTTATGGCTACAGATGGAGATGTACAATAAGAAAAAAAAAGAAACAAAATATCACCCTCTAGTGGTCGAAGGCAGAATAGCAGCTTCCCATTAGTTTCTATGGACAGAAAAGAGCAGATACGGATTAAATGGTTTTCAATGCATTCCTATGGGAAATGCAGATTTGACTTGAAAACTTTTTGACTTGAGAACCGCCTTCCAATACGGATTAAGTTCTCAAGTCAAGACCCCACTGTACTGTAGTAAAGTCATAGTCAATTGATCTTATCATGGCTTTGCTACTTTTCTATGTCTTCACTCATCTTAGTGAGCATGCTGCATCCTGTTAAAGTGCTGAAGATCATGGGCACCCCATTTGGCTATAATAGCCATCCAATGAAAATCTAAGGACAGTGGTTCCCAAATGTTTTTCACTCACAGCTCCCTTGACTTACTGGCCACTGGTCCTGGCTCCTCCAGTACAAAACTTTGGGTTTAGGAGGCAGAAGGGAGGGGGAAACACAACTTGAGCAGTACTTCTGCAGATTTCTGAAGCTGGGGGGGGGCACTGCCCTGTCAGAGTTAAGCCATGCTCCCCGTATTCTGCAGCAATGTTACCCGGGTTCCTCCCTTCCCTGTAGACTGGGTTGCCTGCAATAGACTGTTTCACAGTCCCTCCATCTGCCAATGGACCCTGGGGCTGGATCACGAAGAGGGGACGTGGCTTTTAACATGGAGCAGCTGGTGGGTATCTTAGCAGTTCCATTGGACATTGCAGCCTCTTGGAGGCCATAAAATAGAGAGAATCTAGCATAATATTTGGGATCGTGTTTGGAAGCCTGGAAGAATTCCTTTGGTTGTTGTTGTTTTTTTTGTTTTTTTTTTTAAGGGAGCCTGTTTTACAAAAGGAGGGAGCAGGAAAGCTAGAAAAACTTGTTTGGGAGGAGGAGGAAGGGAAAGAAAAATAAACAGGGCTCTTCTCTGTCTCCCCCTCCCCTCCTAACAACAGGTCATCCCACCTGATTCCTTGCAAAGACAGTGTCAACAGATGGGCCCCCGCAGATTCTGCAGAAGGACTTCCAAGGTTTCATGGCACACAGTCTGGGAACCACTGTTCTAGGGCTTAAAGCCAAAGGAGGCACTATTTTCAAGGATTAGCTATCAGCAACAACAAAAGAAAAATTCTTTTAAAACAAGAGAGGCAGTAAAACAGGAATTCAAGCTTTGGATCCTTTACTAGAAATCTGATGCAGTACCACGATATCCATCCCAAATGCTAAGAAAGAGCACACGGTTTTCCACATGTTTGATGCAATCCCCCCGCAATTCTAAAAAAAGGGAATTATCAATGGTTTACAAATCAAATTTCTCTCTTTCACCAGGACAAGTGTGATTCTTCCCAGATTCCAAATCTTCTAACAAGAATAAGCAACACAGATGAGTGCAACATTTATTTATTTCTATCCCACCCATCTGGTAATGAGCAACACAGATGAGTGCAACATTTATTTATATCTATCCCGCCCATGTGGTAATGGAGTACTACTCTGGACAGCTAGCAACAAAAAGCAGAATAAAAATAATAACCCATCCACAACATAAGCATACAAATAATATGCACCAGCAAAATAATAACAATAATTTGAAAAAAATCTAGGGCATAGTGGTTGGTATTCAGTAGTAAATTGCAATTATAGTAGGCTCACTGAATCAATGGGGAAATTGTGCATCAACTCCTCTCCAAGTTCCACTGAGTCTATTGGGCCTACTCCAGTTGTGATTTACTACTGGATTTCAGCCACTGAGTTCCATGAGGCTTATTTCCAGGTTGAGTGAGTACAGGATTGCAGCCTAATCATCCTTGTTAATACTTTGGGGTATGGAGGAGATAGCTTAATGAAAACAAAAAAAAATCCATATATTTTTAATCAGCCTTCATTTCAGTTTGGGTGCAAGGAAAAGGAACCACATGCTGCCAGAATTAGCAAAAATTGCCAGCTGTCAACCCAGAAATCCTGCCTATGCTTTTAGAATATGCAAACAAGAGAAAAATCATACCAGCACTGTACCTCCTCTGTCTGCCAAGAGACAATCTTAAAGGCCTTGCTCTTAGGGCTACAATGTTTAGCTAATTAATTAGTTAGATTAAGACAATCTCCCCTCTCTAGGTCATCCCACCAGCCCCAGCCAACATGGTCAACAGCTGTCACCCAGAAGAACTAGTAGGACCCAAACTGGGGAAGTATGGATTAGCAGGTGAGAATGTTTTTAAAAAACACTAATTATTTGAATGAATTTATCCTTTATTAACGAACTGTTTAATACTAGTATTTTATGTCAGGTCCTGGAACAACCAGTTCTCTATAGCCACCTAGAAGCAAATAACTCTTTTTAAATGGTTCTTAATATGCTGGATATGTTAATTATCACAAATCAAAGTTCTGGATTTTTTTTTTACTTTACGGCTACCTTTTTGGATTCCTATGGATATTTATGCATGTTTTAATTTATTAATGAAAAATATGCACTATCAATGAACTTCCTACTTGTGCACCTACCCCAAATGTAGGCAATCTGGCATGCCTTGGAAAGCAAAGAGGATTTAATCCAAACAACCCAGCTATCTTCTTCTTCTTCAACACATTGAGCTGACAGCAAAACACACAGGGCTTTGGGTTCTTGCTGCATATGACTTGTCTTCTTTTAAAAGTTGTGAACTGCAAAGCATCACAGAGGCAACCTAGGGAGAGAGGATATACATGGAATTAAAACTGCAGGACAATGACATGGTTACAAATTGTTCCAACCTTCAATGTAGGAAAGGGCTGCTGGGACTCTCACAGTCTTCTTTTCTCAGTTCCAGTTTCTACAGTGTTTTCTGAAGAAAATGTCTCTCTCAAAGAGCTGGGGGTCAGGAAGTAAAAAACATATATATTAAAAGATAGCTAAATCTCCTCCACCTCTCCTTCTTTTAAAAAGGAAATTAATATTTATTCCAAAATAGTCAAACAACTCAATAGAACACACATCAAGCGAGAAGTTCAGAGAATGATCATTGTGTCTTCAGAATGTCCACTGCGCATGACTTTTGATCTGGCAACTTCATTCCTCTTTGTTCAGTATTTAGTGTTCCATAGACTCCTTCCAACCTGGATTTTCTAATTAGAGAGGTATTGGACATGAAAAGACATAGATCTCTATAACATGTCAAAACACCAACACTCCATGGCCTTCTGTGTGAGACAGATGACTCTAGAGGTTTGAATATGTTCTCTACCAGGAGGAAGATATCCCTGGAAGAGAGTCCTTAGGCTAGCCAACACCTAGCTGGATCCTACCAGGTAAAAGGAGGCTTCCCATTTGATTGAAAGGTTCAGTTTCTCCCCCACCATCTGCATTTAAATCAGCCAGAATCCACAGCGACACTTTCCATGACACATCCAAGCAAGGGAGAGCCAAAGTGATTGTCAACAGGAGCGACAGCTGTGAAACTGCCAGGCAGCCGCGTTAACCTTCTGAACTGGCAAAAGATTCGTTACTAAGCTTACTCAACATTCCTTTGCAATGCATGTGTGGTTGCGAGGGGATTGTTAGGGCCATTTCAACAGGGCAGTTGGGGCATCCATCCAAGGAAAGAGGAAACATTGGGGGGGAGTGTTGTTTGTTTCTTTAATTGCTCTATTTTCCCCCGCATGTTTCTAACTACCTGGCCTGAACCAAAATACCCCTTTGGGTCTATTCTGTCCTCTTATCTTAAACATCATCATATCAAATGGCCTTTCCTTTCCCACTGGGCTTCACAAAATGACAACAGTGGATCCTTTATGCGACCATAAACATCAGCAATGGCAGAACAGAACAGAGTTTGGGCGTCATCTTTTATTCTGAAGAGCTGTGGCTTGCAATAACTGCTCGCCCTGACCCAGCACTTTCCTGTAAGTTGAAGTGCTTGTAGGAGATCTGTCCCACATGTTGTCTCCTTAAAAAAAATAATGTAGGAGGCCATGTGAAATCTTGCACCGATACTCTAAAGCACCAGCTAATGTGAGGCCAGAATGTGGGCAGCTTTCTATGAATCCCAGGTGTATGGATTTGCAAATAACATTGGGAAAGGCACAATCTAACTCCACAGGACAGAAGACAAGCTCTTGAGCTTGGAGTACTGCTTTTCAGTTTTAAAATGACATTTACAGATACCTGTTTATTAATATTATTGATTGATTAGGCATCTTTCAGTCTCGAGAGACTATGGCAATGTGCTCTGTATGGAGGACTTGGAACAGCGTCTAGTGTGGCTGAGAAGGCCAATTCGAGAGTGACAATCCCTTCCACACGGAAGACAAATCCAGTCTGTCCCCTGTCCAACTCCCTGGTTTTGCTGGTTTCGGGAGCGACTGTTATTATTATTAGTTCCAAGATAAATGGACTTAGGATTAGGGACGAAACAGCAAAGTCAAACAACAAAACCTTGCTTATGCCCTCTGTTAAACGAAGTCCAAAGAGATGGAACATGGCAACTAAAGACAGTCTATTTTCAATATTTTTACACCTTTCCAGTGCTTACTGTGGGCTTCGTGGGTAGGGAAAGGGCATCTGAGCCTCTCCCGAGCAGGGCTATAGAGAACACTAGGTAAACTCTTCATTTGTCAATTGACAAGGGACCTGGCAAGTAATTTTCAAGGCCTGCAAGACTCCTTGTCTCCAGTGAGAGCAAGACAAGAATCACCATTTGTTCCTCATTTAAATTTCCATAATTTGTGCAAACGGTCTCTGCACAAAACTAGTGTTCTTTCCCTCTAAGCAAAGAGCACACACACATGTCTGAACACAAATACAAACATCAAGTGCTGAACAACACTGAAGGATCAGGTTTCCCCGCTGAAAAGTAACCTTGGGAATTCAAATGCACAATCCATTTCAACTTGTTCATTAGATTTGTACCCTGTCCTCCTTCGTACAAGGAGCAGGGTGTGGCTCTCCCACTTTTACCTTTAGACCAATTCATATGAAGTTAGGCTAGGATAGGCTGAGAGCAAGTTACTTGCCCAAGACCACCCAGTAAACTGCATATTCAAGATGGAACTCAGGACCAGACCCTTCCAACAGAAATCCAGTTGTTTCCCAAACACATGCCTGCTAGTTAATGTGGAGGCAGGGATGGAGGAAAACATTTAGATGATTGTTCACTCCCGCTTTCCTGCCCCAGTTGCTTTGCATACACCCATGCACACATCCACACCCACACTCTGGAGTGAAAAACCAAAGCTTTAAAAAGTCACTGTTCCAGGTTAGAACCCACAGAGTCTCCCAGCCAGTCTAAAAAAGAGATACTCTCATGAAAGGAACTTCCCATGTTCTTGAGGAAAAACAGTGAAAGTGGCCTAAAAGGGATTTCCAGGAATGAACTTGCAGGCAAGGAAAGATTAAGCCAGGCCACTTCTTGAAGAAGAATCATGTGTACCACATAGCCATTGCTATGCCTTCTATGCTAGCCATTCCCACTACCCTTGAACAGACAAATATTATTCTGTTGGCAGTGTTGAAATGAGAGTCACCTGCCACTGGGATGGAGAGAAGGCACCACATTAATAAGCACAGACGGCAAAACCTTTTGGCTCAGCCTGAAAGGATTTATTCCGTATTACTAAGAAAACATCTGGTTCATCCTTACACAGACCTGACTACTCAGAAGTAAATTCCACTGAACTGTAGGCACAGTGCTGCCAGACAAGCATGCATACGATTCAGGCCTTCACAGTCTTCACTTTCTATGCAAAACACTTTAATATTAACTTAGCACAGTAAAGTGGAAGAGGAAGCAGAGCTGGAACATAATACAGATGACAAAAATGATTCAGAAAAGAGGTCTGTATGGTTTTTTTTTAAATAGTGATGCCTATATGTTATTTGAAATAGTGACGTCAAGGAAAATTGCTAAGATGACTAACATGGCCAGAGTGTAATTAAAGCCAGTCTTGGAACATATTTCCAATGCTTAGGCTATCCTTTCAGGCATAATCTAAAAAAGAGTACCCGTATACGTGTACAGAGTGCCTGTTGTTCACCAAGTGACTACAGCCAGCTTCTACATACTAGACACCTTTTAGGCCCCTTTGAGATGTGAAGGCTTATTGTATTTTATGAATTAATTGCTAGTGCATTGCTTTTACCCCTCAGATTTGTAATCTTTCAGGGTACTTCCTTACTATGGCTTTTCAAAAAAGACTCAAACTCATGCTGATTCAACAACAAGTCCTACGAGGGCTGCAATAATCTCAAGACAGCACAGCACACTAGAGACTCATATAAGCATAACAGCAACTATAGGCACACCGCTGACACAATATATGCTAAAAGCCGGACCAGATGTGGCACAATACTGGGGCCTAGCAATAACGGTCCGAGAACATGGGATGCAGTCTCTTTCTTGAAGATAAGCAGGGGGCTTGCTAAGTGAAGAAGCTTCTACTTTACAGGTAAAAGGTCTCAGGTCCGTTCCCTGGCATTCCCCAGGTAACCCTGAGAAAGACTCCAATCTGACAACTTGGCCAGTGAATGTAGCCATTTCCTGACTTACCCTGACCATGAATGTTACTTATGATGAGGAAGCTTTTTACACTTGCAGGTGCAAGCCTGATTAGCAAATAAGTTTCCTAGCACTATTAGGACATGGAAGTAAACAGTGTAAAATGATCTTGGTATATATGGAAAATATGAGCATACAGATGCATATACACTCTTCTGCTGACATGCACTGCTTCAGTTTACTTTATGGCAGTGATTCCCAACCTTAAGTAGCCCAGATGTTCTAGAGGCGGCTTGTGAAGCAATGGTTAAACTGCAGTACTTAAGTGAGGACTCTGTGCATGGCTTAAGTTTGATCCTGGACTTGGGTAGCTGATTTAAGATTGACTCAGGCTTCCATTCTTCCAAGGTCAGTAAACAGCTTGGGGGGGGGAAGGAATAATGTGTAGCCTGCACAGTTAAGTTGTAAGCCACCCAGAGAGCGCTTTAAACACTATGAGGCAGTATACAAGTACATTTTGCTTTGCTTTTTACTTTGTTCATGGACTACAATTCCCAGAAGCCTTTACCACCAGCTGCGCTGGCCAGAGTTTCTGGGAGTTGCAGTCCAAAAACACCTGGGTTACCCTAGGTTGGAAATTACTGCTCTGTGGTATGCAAGATTACAAGCAGGATTCCGGTGTTAAGCATATTTATCTCCGTTCCAATCCTAAGTATGTTTTAACTTTATTTATCCAACCGATATCAAAATACAAAGGGATACAGGCATTTCTAAGCTGCAAGATACACTTCCTCTCCTTTTGCACATTCCTACTATCAAAATTCTCTGTGAATGTTCAGATCATCTCTCTATCCTCTCTGTCTTATCCACCCTGTGCCATTCTTAGAACTTTACTATTTCTTTATATAGACAGTGCTGGAGATATACAATAACTGATTTTTCAGAACACCCAAGATCCTATTGTCCATGGAGCCCTCATTTCACTACTTTAGCCCCATGTCATCTTTGCTTAAGTAAGTTTTGCAGGTCCTTGATCAGTGCAAAACCTTTAGAGGGGCAATTGCATTTACACCTCATACACAAATTACATTGTGACCTCGCATATTATAAAAAACACGGCCCTCAGCCCCTTTTGAAATTTGTCCTATGTGCATCTTACCTGCTGATCAACAACTGCCAAAGTTTCCTTCCGGACATTCCCAAATACGACACATTCAGCTGCCCATTCCCAAATGTTTAACTTCTCCCTTACATGTCACTTAACAGTCCAGGTTAGACTGCAAATTATCTTGCACAAAGACTCTATATTCTTCAGGCCAACAAATGTTAAATGATAGTTGTAGAAGCAATTGTTACTTAGTTTGTGACACGACTCTGAACGTGTTTTCAGACTTGGGACTTAACCCTGGCAGATGGAAGAGCTAAGAATGATAATTGCCATTCAGCATATGCAGACTTTAAACTAATGTGTTGTTCCTTCACATAAAGTGAATTAAACAGAACAGCATGTGTTCTAGGAATGTTCAAAGCCTGACTTCTCTTTGGAAATGTTAATCATAATGAAAAACTAGGTTTTGAAAGATATTGCCAGTTGTAAAACTTGTCAACAGTTGCAAGAACCTAATCTTATACATGTTTTCCAGAAATAAGCTCCTCTCAGGTTAGAAACCTTAAGTCCATAGTACCCATAATATTATGCACATAAACAGACATGGGGATAGAAAAGAAGGGCAAATTCTTGTCCTGTCCAAATTTTTAAGAATGCATGATCTGAATTATTTACATCATATAGGAAGAACTATGAAAAGCAGAGCTTGTGCAGTGGAACACAGAAATCAACCCACTTATTTCCCTTGGCCCATCTTAAGTTTTCCATACCCCATGGAACCACCTACATTGATGCCAGGAGATCTAGTCCTGCGTGGACATGCAGGTTTGTGTGTGCAGAGGTGCTTTTGCACACAAACCTCAACGCTCTTACCCAAAGCATGCATGCACACACCCTCCAACTTTTTCCTCATCTTGACAGATATATCCACTTATCTTATATGAGGTGCAGAATAAAACCTACTCAAAAACAACACTTCACAGGACAGCGAGACAACATGGATAGGCTAAAGAGCATTTGGGCTCAAAGTGACAGAGATCTGGGTTCAAGACTTAGATTCCCAGAGCGAAAAGGCATATTCTTCTAGCCATTCTTGTTCTCCACCCTCCCGTTTCCCTACAGTTCTCTCTTGGACCGTCACTTTAGCTAGCTGGGGTCGTTCCACTTCAAAGTTTAAGGAAACTTTAATACTGTAATGAAGTTCTGATTGCGCAGCCCAAGCCCTTCTGAACTATGGCATTTACTCTCAAATAAAGGTGGATACCGTTGGTACCATAGAAATGGACAGAAGAGAGTGCAGTGATCTGGAAATCAAGCAACGCGATCTGATTCCTGTTTACTGCCCAACTTCTTTTCTACTGGGGGAAAAATAAAACCATCACAGACCAACTTTCAGAAATTTGATAGAAGTTGCCGCGAGGGAATATCTAGCTGGATTCTGAATAACGCTAAAAAGCAAGCAGCCGAACGAACACACAAAGACCCATTTAAAAGTCCCCAACGGCGATCAATATTCCTCCACTTGAGCCGCTCCTGCTTGTCGCTCTCCTCCGTCCCCCATGGAAGTTTTCCAGGCTTTCCCCTCTCAGCCATAGTAGGGCTACCAAACAGCTGAGTCGAGGGGAAAAAAGGCGAGATTTTCCGGATTGATTTTTTTTTAAGCCACCCAGTCCCTACGGGAAAGTTTGGGCAAGCTCCCTCTTCGAAGCAACCCTCCCATTCAAAACACCGCATCGGCAGCAGCTTACCTTCGCTCGGGTGGAAGAGAACTGAACTGAACGCACACTTGCCCGGCGCTCCGAGAAGAGAAGGGAAGCAAGGGACTGTGAACAAACTGCGGAGCCAGAGCTGAAGAAGAAGAAGAAGAAGAATCAAGGGACCGGAGACAATTTCACAAGATCAAAGGAAGCTTTCTTGGAAGCAACGCTGGCTTGCAGGGAGAATACCCCTAGCTGGGAAGGAGGCGGGGGTTCCTTTGAGGGAGAGCACTGTAGCCAGACATACCCAGAACAAAATAGATCCTTTGTTTATTCAGCACTCCCTTAAATCTCCAGTTCAGGGAGGCAGAGTCAGGGCTCTTTTAAGAAAGAGCCAGGGCCTCTGTGTAGGCCAAACTCATTCCCTGGCAAACATATTCAGGCATTAGTTCAGACCCTCAGATATGACTGTATAAAGACTCCGCTTAGTTTCAGGGAGAGTTTCGTGGATTGTTGTCCACTGTCCACTACAGACATGTAGGGAACACACATTGGGGGGGGAGGGGGGAGGAATCAAGCTGATCAGCAAAATAGAGCAAGAGTCGTGTGTAATTAATCCAATCACACCCGTAATCACACCCATACTAAAAATAATCAAAGCAAAGAAAACAGAAAAACGGTCATTGTAGTCGAGCCCTCTCAGAAGTAACTAAGCTACTATCACACCTACGCACACTGGCTTGGAATTCAACTCAACAGAACACAATCAAAAGGGAGAGGGTGTTTGTCTTTCCTTCAAGCGTGCTCAGAGGCACAAATATAGTTATTGTGATCACAACAGGGGCTTATCTGTTTTGCATTGAGTGACTCTAAATAGTATCTATAATCACTGAATGTAGGGTCACTGAGCCAAGTCAGGGTCTACCCCCTGCAGCTGGGAAAATTGAGTTAGGGGGACTGCATTAGCTATTTGTACACCATTGAAGTAAAAGTACCCCACTGAAGTTCAAAGATCTACAACACTAGGACTCAGAATCATCTTTAAGCGAACGTTGTTACTGTTATGTGCATCCAACACTAGGACTCAGAATCATCTTTAAGCAAACGTTGTTGCTGTTATGTGCATTCAAGTCACCTCCAACTTATGGTGACCCTATGAACAAGTGACCTCCAAAATGTCCTGTACCCAACAGTCCTTCTGAGTTCCTGCAGACTCAATCCTGTGGTTCCTCTAGGGAATCAGTACATCTCATATCTTCTTTTTCTGCTGCCTTCAAACTTTCCCAGCATTATTGTCTTTTCCAGAGAATCTTGCCTTCTCATGATGTGCCCAAAGTGTGACAGCGTCAGTTTCAAAATTTTTGCCTCCTTATAGGACCCGGGCTTGGTTTGCTATAGGACCCACTTGTTTGTCTTTTGTCTGGTGATTTGTTTCTTCCCAGTGCTTTCAGAGTACATGTCACTTCATTTTTTAGCTTTGCCAATTCATAATCATAGGATTCTGTTTCAAAGGAGTCTGCCATCCTCTTGTCCCTTCTGTATAGGTCTTCAGTATACTGCTTCCACCTTCATTTTATTTTATCCTGGTCAGATAGTGTGCTTCCCTGTTGGTTTTTCAGTATTCCAAATCTAAGCTGTAGACACCCAGGATCTGACACCCACAAAGTCATGGTGTGTTTGACCTTGGGCAAACCAGTGTGTCTCAGCTCAACCTCTCTCATAGGGCTGTTCCAAAGATACAAAGACCTGGGGGGTCATATTGACTCCTTGGAAGAAAGACAGGCTATTTGTGTAATACGTACATCACTCATGCATGTGAAGAGCCTTGCATACCTGAGAGTGCACTTTATTAAATGATGTGTCATTTTGCTCAACTGTCAGTGGTTGTTTTGAACTGCTTGGGGAGGTTTTCTATGCATTCTTCTGTGAGACCACTGGCCAGGGCAAACCCCTGGATGTCATGAGCCACAGTCTACTAGTGGCCAGGCCAGAGACAACAAAAGTCACCCTGCTTTCTTTCTGCCACTTCCTTGTGCCCTATTTCAGCCATCTCTCTGCCCCTCCTCCCCATCTAACATGGTGAAGGAGAAGAGGCAGATCGTACTTACAGAGATCTGATCACTTCCAGGCAGTTGCATTCACTGGCCAGACTGCTGGAAGGAGGGAACAAATCTATGTCTTACTAAGCAGCTGGACAGAATACGCCTTGCATATTTTCCTCTTTATCATCACTCCCCTCCAATAGAGGACTCAGGTGGTGACAGCAAGGGGGCCAAAACAAGAGTCAGGTATCAAGCATGGCTGATGGAAAGCCGAGGCTTGTGAACATATAACAGAACAGAACAGAACAGAACCAACGGCAGTGGTAGTGCAGACTGGACAGCTCTTCCACCGAACAACCAAATGAGAACCGGAGGTGCTTAATAGCCACAGGATGCTGCTCATCAGCTGAAACAGACGGAGGAGATCATGGATGACTTATTCAACCCTGAATGGGAACACTCTGATTATGAGGTAAAATGATACTGCAACGTTTTGTTGTTGCAGGCTCCATAATTAAAACCTGTTTTCAAAATTGTAAGTTAATGGAGTGGGAAAGAAACACCAACAGGACCAGATTTTCTCATTCTCTCTATCATGGCTATAGATTTTTTCTCTCTGTGGTATTAAGAGCTTGGTGGAGGCAGGCAATCGGCAAACAAGTATTATTTTTAAGCTTAGTGAGTACAAGAGAAAGAACTTATTCTGCTGTAGCATCTGGATATGCAAACCCCTGTCAAGAGAAATCAGGCTGGCTGTGCTCCTATTGAGTTTCCATTGGTTACTGGAAACTAAAACTACAGTGTCTCCAGACCAGCACATTCTTTTGGGGTCCGAGAAGCTTTGTAAGCACAATGAACTCATTTCTAGTGGTCCCATTATTCAGGCAGTTAGAGTGCCCTGCCCTATATGGGAGCCAGGCCAAACGTCTGAGCCATCTTCTTGCCTTTTTTCCTGGCTTGTTCCCCTTTCAATCCCCCTGTTCCTGACATCTTGGTGTCTTCAGAATAGGGCTCGAGTGCCAGTCCCCTCCTTAAGATCTGGCGAAGACAAAACTCAGCTCTCATGCCAATTTGATTTCATCCCACTCATGCTCATGTCCAACACCGAATCCTTCTTGCAAGCAACTGAGAAACTGTCTGAGAATGGAGTAACATCCGTTATTCCACACATCTCTACCTGAGTTAAAATAATAAAGACAATAGAATTAAATAGGAGATCCACTATCTCCCTTTCATCTCAGCCTCCCCCTTGAAAGATACCCCACCAGAAAAATCCTCCTTGTTTAGCTATTGTGTCAGCCACTTTCAATGACATTTCACCATTTCTTTTAAGAAAGCTACACCTTGAACTTTTGGCACCACACTTGGGGCATCAGGGTGACCATATACGGTCATCATATGACCCATAAGCACTCAGCATGAAGAAGACCTGTCCCAGCTCCACAAACCAGTATCCCAGCCTTGGTGCAAGGGAATCTAAGCAGGGCCATACTTTTCCCAATCTATTTCAAATGTTTGTCTTTGTAGCCTCCAATGGGGACAAAATACTGGGCTACATGGAGTTTTATTCCTGTCCAGAATCACTATGCATAACTTACTGGCTCTTTATATTTTACTGCTACTGAGTAACTTGTTACTATGTGCCCTCAAGAAGTTTCCAACTTATGAACCTCTTATAGCACCCCTGACCTTCTTGGATGTTGGACAAAATAGTAAGTGTGGTTCTCTTGAAATGACAGGAACTCCATTCTTGAGGTACCTGACAGTGATCTCGCCCTGCTAGAGCTTCCCCAGCACATTCTGCAGTGGTAGCCTGTCCTTTAGCACTCCCCCTGGGGCCCTCAACATAGGCTGCTTCCATCCTACCAATCTACTTCTGCTTATCTCCTCACCAGATACTGAGAATCAAGGCTTGACCCGAGCTCTCGTCCTCCCAGCCCCATCCTATTGCTTTAGGGTGCGTTGGAAGAGAGAATAACAGAAAAATAAAGGAATGAGCATATGCAAGTAAGTCAATTACACAATCTGAGACTAGGCATAAAGGAAAACAGCAGCCAAAAGTCCATTCTCGCATATTTTCCTGCTCCTTGACCATGTTATGCAATGAATGCATGGGGTGCAGAGTGAGACAATGTCTGTTAATGCCTGTCTCTATGCGCATGTGTCGATACCTGGATAGCTGGCCTGGATGTATGTATCTGTGTTAATACTCATTTTTGTGTTAGCCTTGGCTCAGCCCATTGTTGGCTGCTATTAATTCTGTTCCATCAATCACAACAGATGTTGTGTGGTTTCCAGACAAGTACAATGGAGCCAAACCAGACTCTTTCTGCCACTTTCCCAAAGGCTGGACTTGCATATAGGGTAAAAAGGATCATGTCTTGTATTTGTCAGAGTAGCTGAGCACAGCCTTATTGCAACTAGCTTGGGAAAGGGAGGTCTTTGTTCTTTCATGAGCAGCATAGGATGTTCAGAGTGGGAAACTCCCAGCAGGGGCCAGGAGGCAGAATAAAAAGGCCTATGTGTGAAAGCACAGGGAGTAAGTCTTTAATTTCTCAAGACTGTTTGCCAGACGCAATAAAGCCTCTGCCTGGCTTTAATAAACTCCCTCTTCTTATTAAGAAAACAAGGCCCTTTTCCTGGAGAACTAAGAACTCCACGGAGAGGGTGTAACTTTTCATAATTATGATTTGTTTCGTGTACGTGTGCTTTGTGAGAATGCCAAAAGAAAAGACCCTTTGAAACCCCAAATATTTTCTAATTATAAGGCATAAAGAGATTGGAACCAACACAGCTGACACTGGACTTAGAAGATAGTTTTGATATTTTTAAAAGAAGGATGTTCTGCTTAATAAGTCTTTATGAATTAAAAAAAAACAGAAAAGAAAAACAGGCTTTATTCCACAGCAGATTTTTTGAAAATTGTTACACAAAGTGAACTCCAGAATTGGACAACCTAGAATAAAAGAGGGCCCTGCTGCTGAGATGTAATTATGTAGGAATTAGAGAACTGCAGATATAGGTAGTTATTGCAAACCAACATTCAGATTTTGATCCTAGGCTTATCTGCTTAAATGTATTTTCTCCACTGATGCCACTATATATCAACTGATCTGAATATGGGATATAGCAGCAGTACACACCAGATGTATTCACATTTGTTATAACTACTGTAACTGAATCATAGAGAAGCAGCTGTCCTTCAGAAGCCACATAAGCAACTTATATGCATTAAAGTGAAAAATAGTCCTATTATAACAAATGCAAGCCATTAGTGAGCTAAACTCATCAGGATCCTGGAAGCAACTCATGACAGCAGATTTCAGGCGAAGGACATCTACAGGATTTTCTATAACTTGAGGCTGGCCTTATTCCTTTTTCTTCTCCATGTGAAGATAAAGAAAAAAAATTTCACAGACAC